AAACCGATTAAAATTAACAACCACCACCACCCTAGGTAATTTTTAAAAGAATGGCTTGTTATATATAAATGCTTCTTAGAGTACAAATGAGATAATGTTATTACTATGTTTATCAATATGTTCACATAAAATAAGAATAGATTGTTCCATAGAATAAAAGAAATGGTATCATCTATGAGAATGTTGACCTTCAGTGAATTAATAATCATAATGTAGTAAGAGGGAGACAAGTGTATTTTCCAAAATTCCATGGAGGCTGAACAATCCAGTCACTTAGGTCAAGCTGCTCTCCATCCAAGAAGCGGTTGAACAGGCCGGGGGAAGGCTGGGCTGCACTTTCCAGGAATAGGGCTGCATGGGTGGTGAGTTGCATATTGTAAGCCTCCACTTTTGGAAGACAATGGGTCTGAGGCCCGCCAGCAAAATGACGGAAGGCTGAGGGACAAGACCCGATCTCTTGTCAATTGTGTCTGTAATCAAGTTACCAGAACTCACAATATTCTTGTGAGAGGTTGGGATTTTTTAATGTGCAGGAAATGGTTAAGGACTTGGGCCTATAACTGGCTGGGCACTAAATTAACCTGAGACTCTTGGATTTAGAAGAATTGGAAGAAATCACTAGGATATAAAGTTATGAATTTGCAGGAAATGCAAGAATAAGTGATGGGGCTTCAGAATTTGGGGCTTTGAACAAATTTACCTGAATCTCTGAGGAAACCCAAGAGAAATCTGGATTTCTCTCTCTGTCTGTCCTATGTATGTTTGCATGTACATGTTTACATTTTTTAATGACTAATAGTTATTGTGTACTTACTGAGTAATGTGTTATGCTGAGTGCTTTCACATTCATGATTTTATTTAATCCCTAAACCAACTTTTGTGAGGTAGGAATTACGACAATGAGGAAACTGATGCTCAGAGAGGTTAATTAACTTATTCAATGTAAAAGTCACACAGCCAAAAAAAGAGCAGTTATTATATTCATCCTATCAAGCCCCAAGCAAATTTTCATGCACCAGGAAAAGCTGCTCTTATTTTCAAGCCTACGTTCCCTCAAACGTTAGTCAGGGTGTCTGTCTTCTGATTGTCAAGTTACTAAACCTTGACAACAATGAAGGAGAATTTTAATGTTCCAAGATTTCAATAGATCTGGAGTTTCTGTGGCAAATTGAAGATGCCGTTTCGACGCAGGACAAGGAGGACAGCCATATCTTGTAGATTTAAGGCATTTGCCGTGTATATGTGTTAGGAGTCGTTTTCTTCTGCTATGACCACCGCCAGAGATAAAGAATGAATGATACCGAGTTCGCAGGGCTGATATCCATCTGCAGCGGTATGCATTCCAGCCTCATAGGAATAAATACAAGGATGTGCTGATAATTATGCCTTGATACACGACAGAGGATATAAAAATGCTTTCTCAATTTGTCTAGTGCACTGTGAATAATAATGTCGTCCATGAGTTTATAGGAGGCAAAGTACTTAAAGCTCTATTGTTATCGCCACAAGAAAACAACTTTGAGAAAAGCATGTTTTCTGTGTTAACCCAGGAATGTATGTTTATTGACAGTGCATTGCTTGCCTTTTCTTTTCTAACCTGCATAAATTCTTTGAATTTAAATTCGACAGAGACACTCTACCTTCACTTTGAAATGAGAGAGCTGCACAGAATGTCAAACAGAGCCAGCTTTTCCTGACTTCTGACCCAGCTCAGGGTGTTTTTTTTTTTTTTCCTTTACATGACTCAGACAGGCTCTTGGAGGCCTAGAGATAAAAGGCCCTATTAGAAGTGCAAAATATGACTATTATTACCTCCTTTAATAAGGCTTCTTGCCAATTTTTCAAATGACTAGAGTCTGTTTGCTAATTATTACTCCACAGTTTCTGTATTCATTTTCTTTCCCTGAAGGAGTCTGATTCCAATGAAGATGAAGGAAAGTGCTAAAAAGTGTGTTTACTGCCATCTATGGGATGCAGCTGGGCTACCAGGCAGCGGAGCTCCTTCCCAAGTAACACGGGAAACCGCAGTTCCAAAGCCATGCAGAAAAGCTCGTGCATTGCAAGTACCGCGACTGCCCTGAGCCTCCACGTGAAAATACCACTGGAAAATCATTTGTTTAAAGTTTTCCAGAAACATAAGTTTATATTGCTACTTTAGGTAGTGAGGGAGCAAATTTTCCTGTATTTAAGGCAATTATATTTCTATTTATAGTATCATGTCGGCACATGGGCTCCACTCACAACTAGGGCTTCCAGCCTGTGATTACCCACAAGTGTTCTAGCAGAGAATACTACAAGTAAAAATTCATTGGCTAGACAACTTTGAATATTCTGAAGAAGGTCAAGAACCAGAAAATAAAGACTCCTGAGTAACCAAATAGAGGTGTAAAGTATATGTGCTGTGGTCTCTGAATTTGACTCATGAATCAGTCAAGTATCGAGTTTATTATAGCACATTTTATTGTTTTCGTATCAGAAACTCTTAGTATCAGAGGCATCAGATTACAAGAAGGGGGCAGAGGCTTTGAAAGACAGATACTTAAGAGAACCAAGAAATGATGGTATGTATCCTAAACTCTGGGAAGAGAAGAGGGAACTATGAAAAAACAGATACAAAAGCTCAAAAGAGCAGACCAGTTTGGACAATCATGGTATAATGTAGCAACCTATGTTCACATTTATGATTCTCGAATAATGGTTAAATTTTCTTAGGTTTACCAAGTCATTAGCATGAAAAGACCAAAGGATACATAGTACTCAGAATGAGAAATACACATGGCCCTTAAAATATGAAAAGATGCTCATAAACCTCACTCATACTAAGAGAGCTGCAAATTAAAAGTAAATGAGATGAAGACAAATCACAGACTGGGAGAAAATATTTGCGAAACCAAGATAAAGGACTTGTATTCAAACATACAAATAATTCTTAACAGTAAATAATAAGAAAATGAACAACCTCATTAAAAGGTAGGCAAAAAATCTGAAGACACGTCACCAGAGTATATGGCCAGCAAGCATATTGAAAGGTGCTCAATGTCATTAGAGAAAGGCAAATTAAAATGTACAGCGATAACAATGAGCTATCACTGCGCGTCTATCAGAAGGGCTAAAATCCAAAATGTTGACGGCATTAAATGCTGGCAAGAATGTGAAGCAACAGGAACTCTCATTCAGTGCTGTTGGGAATTCAAAATGGTATTGTCACCTTGGAAAACAGTTTGGCAGTTTCTCATAAAGCTAAACACAGCCTCACCATGCAATCCAGCAAGCATGCTCCTAGATTTTTATCCAAATGAGTTGAAAACTTATGTCCATAAGGCCGGGCACAGTGACTCATACCTGTAATCCCAGCTCTTTGGGAGGTCAAGGTAGGTGGATCACTTGAAGTTGGGAGTTTGAGACCAGCCTGACCAGCATGAAGAAACCCTGTCTCTACTAAAAATACAAAAAATTATCTGGGCATGGTGGCACATGCCTGTAATCCCAGCTAGATGTGAGGCTGAGGCAGGAGAATGGCTTGAACCAGGGAGGCAGAGGTTGCAGTGAGCCGAGATTGTGCCATTGCACTCCAGCCTGGGCAATAAAACTCTGTCTCAGAAAAAAAGAAAAAGAAAAAGAAAACTTATGTCCACATAAAAAATTGCACATGAATGTTTACCACAGCTTTATTCATAATTGCCCCAAATTGGAAGCAAGCAAGATATGCTTTAAAAGGTTAATGGATAAACAAATTGTGGTACATCCAGACAATAGAATAGCATTCAACACTAAAGAAATGAGCTGGTAAGCCATGGAAAGGCATGTAGGAAACTTAAATGCATATTACTAAGTGAAAGAAGCAAGTTTGAAAAGGCTCTATACAGTATGAATCTTAACTATACAACATCTTGGAAGAGGCAAAACTATGAACACAGTAAAAAGATCAGTGGTTGCCAGGGGTTCTAGAGGGGAGTGCAAAGGAGGACTGAATAGGTGCACAGGGGACTTTCAGAACAGTGAAGATACTCTGTATGCCACTACAACGGTGGAAACATGCTATACTTGCCCAAACCCATAGAATGTATAATACCAACAGTGAACCCTAATGTAGTTAAAATAACATATCAATACTGGTTTATCAATTATAACGAATATATCACACTAAAGAAAAGGGAGGATGCACAAAAAGTCACAAGAAAAATGAAAATGGTAAGAAAGAAAGTTTTACAATTCTCATATCAGACAAAGTAAAATTCAAACCACAGCATATTAGAAGCACAGAGAAGAACACTTTATAAAAGCCACATTCCACAATAAAATACACATTTTAAAAACTTAAATGCACTAGTATCCTTTCCGTGCTGACTGTCAAAAATTTTAAAGAAAGTTTGGTTGTATATTGTGCTGGTGACGATGTGGGGAAACAAGTTCTCCCATACTGTGATAGCAAGAGAAAGAAACTGATGTGAAAAATGAAAGGTGATGTGATAATAGTTATCACAATGACAAAAGCACATATCCCTTCTTGGAGCCAGCGATTCTCTTCTGGAAATTTAACCTACAAATATATTTGAATGTGTGCAAAATGGAGTAAATAGATTAAAACTGTAGCATTTTTAAAAATAGCAAAAGATTGAAAATAACTAGATGCTCATCAGTAGGAACTGATTAATTAAATAATGCTGTATCCATGCAATGGACCAGATGTTGCCATTACATAGAATGAGACAGCTTTTTGTGTATTGACGAAAAATGATGACCAATACATAAGTCTTTAAAAGACAAGGTGTAGTAGAGCACCTGGCATGCCACTTTCAGGCTTGTCTACATGTAGACTATCACAGGAAGGACATGTGTGTAGCTTGGTAATGGTGGCACCAGTAGCCTCTGTTAGGCATGGGGAAGTGAGGGCCGTGGTGCTGGGATAGGAGGAAGACTTAATGATCACTCTCTACCCTCTTGTTTCTATCCTTAAAAAAAAAAGGATAAAAAATAATTTTAAAATAAAAGAGCAAAAGGGTGTATAATAAACTTTGGGATGTTTCCAATGACTGTTTTAAAAATGTTGATCTTTAAAATGTTGGTTAGCTCCGGTTATCTGGACAATTTAATTATGTGGAACACCTCATTTCCTGACAATGCTGAATGGATAAGGCATTACTCTGGTTTGCTGACTTATGCACAATTATAGAGTTAACATTATCATCATAGCACAAAAGACATTGGAATTTAGAACAAAGGATGGGGATACTTTTCAACAAAGGCATTAAGGCAGAAGGAGAGCAGATAAAATGGAAAGTCTGTAATTCTCGCACTGACGGAGGGATGGAGGCAGAATGAACAAAATCTGGGAGCCTTGGTGAAGTGCTGTGCTTCTGCGCCTCACAGGCAAGGCTCTGTCCACTCAACAGCACAGCTGGCTGCTGCCTTCCTGGGAAGAAACCCTGACAAAAAGAAGGGGTGCTTCGGAGGGATTGGAAAGAAGGCAGGGAGCCTGAATCCTGGCATCAGCTATGGCATGGCACAGCATGCCATGGACTCAGGCATGTGAGTAATACCCACCACACACACACTCAAGTGTGAAGCAACCACCTTGACAGAATAGAGCAGAAGTTGACCATCAGGCTGGTAGAGATTGTAGAATGATTCCTCCAGCCTGTTTTTAAAATATGGGCTTTTCATATACCAATTCTTATTTTTAGCTTTGTTTAAAAAATTGGAAAATCTAACAATATGAGGCCCACTTTCTCTGCATGTTAATAACACACTGGAGCAGAGCAGGGACTGTCTATCTTTACATGGAACGCCAGCTTAGCAGGTAACTGTGGTCCCCAGCACTCCCTCTCACCCCACACACGGCCCACCTCACTCCATTACTTGCTGGCCTCTATGGGCATTTTTATTTGCAGGTCCTAGACTAGACTTGGAAAGGGTTGTTTTGCAAAATTGTCTCAGAAGCAGAAGATGTTTGAATAGATTTTGAAAGGCATAAAATAGTGGCTTTGGGGATTGCATATGCAAGGCTAATAGAGCAAAGCTTCCTGGAAGACCAAAGTATATCCTCTTGTCCAAAAATTGGGCCAAGCACAGGGCACCTATGGTTTGGGGAGATGATGGATGATGCTGAGTGAGCAAAGTGCTGGTCATCTGAGTAAAAATATTTACTGAGCTCCTACTCTGTGCCAGGCATTTTATAGTAGCACATCAGTGAACCAGACGAATGGTTTCCTGCCTCACAGGGCTTACAACTTACTAGTGGAGGTAGCCGGTCAATGAGAAAACAAATTATTCCATGTCCATTTACGAACCATAGCTAGCACTATAAAAGACTTAGACAGAATGCTGTTGTCATAGAGAATTACAGTGAAGCTGGTCAGGGAAGGTGGGATGGAAGCTGAGGCCTGAACGATGAACAGGCTCGGCTAGATGAGGAATGGGATCAAGAGGATGCCAGGTGGAAGCAACAGTATGTACAAAGGCCCCACCGTAGGAGGGGAGTATTTCAGAGGCTGGAAGAACAACCAGACAGTCCCCAGCCTAGTGAGTAAGGAAGAGATTGGTATGGGATGACGCTGGAGAAGCAGCAAAGTCAGACCACAGGTTTCTTATTATTTTTGGGGGACCAAAGAGTCTTGCTCTGTTTCCCAGGCTGGAGTGCAGTGGCATGATCTCAGTTCACTGCAACCTCCGCCTCCTGGATTCAAGAGATTCTCCTGCCTCAGCCTCGTGAGTAGCTGGGATTACAGGCACCAGCCATCATATCCGGCTAATTTTTGTATTTTTAGTAGAGATGAGTTTCTCCGTATTGGCTAGACCTCTTGACCTCAAGCAATCCGCCTACCTTGGCCTCTCAAAGTGCTGGGATTACAGGCATGAGACACAGCACCCAGTCAGACCACATCCTTCTGAGTGAAAAGAGCTGTGCTCTACCCTGAGAGGAAGCTTCAGAGGAGTGTTAAGGGTAAGAATGACATGATGCAATGCATGTGTCTAAGGGACTGGAGCAATCACCCCAAGAAAAGAGAAGGCAGAGCAACACCGAAGGGAAGCAGCGAGAGAGTCAGCAGAGCCACCAGCACCTGCTCCTGTGTCCTTTCAGCTGTCCAGGACCAGCAGCAGAGCATGATCCTAGCTCCTTCCCTCTTGATGTCCTGCCACCGTCCTCTCCTGTGTTTCTCTTTCATCTCTGCCCTTGGTGCTCCTGTTTCAGAACTTTCCCCCAGAGTAGAATGTGGAGGGAGAGTGGCTGGCTCCCCTTCTCTTTTCCTCCCTCTCCTGCAAACACACGCCCTCCCCTACACACACACACACACACACACACACACACACACACACACACACCTCTGTGAGAGTGCACACACACAGAGATTTCAGATAGCTGCATGGATAGGGATGGCTGTGCAGGTGCAAAGAAGCAGGTGGAAGAGCTCTGCCTGGCTACAGCGAAGCTGTGGGCCTGAGCTGAGCGAGGCCGGCTGTTAGGTAAGGCAGCGCTAGCTGGTAGTGGGTCTTGAAGCCTGAGACTAGAGGAGTTTTAATATGATTTGGGAGACAGCTGGGAGCCTTTATGGGCAAGCGAAGAGGAGAGTGACGTGATCTAAGTGACGCTGGAGGAAGATGATTCTCGATGATGTGTGTCCAATAGAGGAGAGGAGACCCCCAGGCTGGAGGAAGGGGAGCTAATTGGGAGGCAGGAGTCCAGGTGTGAAGCGATTATGTCTCGGACCGGAGCCCTGGGAAAGCGAAGGAAGACAGAAGAAGAAACGGCAGGATTTAATGTTGAACAGAAAGTGCCTCTGGGGTTGTGCTGGGGTGGGAGATGTGCTACAAAGGTGAGGAAATAAGATACTGGGAACTCATTTAACAGTAAATGAGAACTAGAAAAGGATTTGGGGCAGTGAGATAGGAAGAACAAAGGTAGGAAGGCAGGGTGCCATTACATGGGAGTTGGTGCTAGAGCCAAGAGAAACATTTCACAGCCCACACGATATCATGCCTGTGGGAAGCTGTGCCTCCCCTCCCCTCCCACCTTGGATGGTCAATTACTTTCTTCCGTATCTGCTTCTATTCTTGTATCAAGCACGAATCTGTGTTGTAATACATCTTTGTCTTTCTATGCCTGCTACTAATCTGTGAGCTCCCTGAAGACAGAGGCACTATTTTACTTCCTTTCAACTCCCAGGGCTTAGCACAGGGACCAGCCCTTCACGAGCACTCAACGCGTTTTGGTGAATGAGTAAATGAATGAATGGAAACTTTCCAGAGGACTGACACTGAACCCTAGCCACAGCACAACTCTGTAAAACTTACAAATTTCGTGGCAGCTGCAGCATCCGTCAAACTCTTGTGGAGATCAGGTTACAGCTGAGAGCCTCACAAAGCCCCAGCCATTGCAGCAATTGACAGGTGGTTTTAGAAGGAAGACTGGGATTGGCAGACAGGAGGCTGGAGTAGTTAAGATAGTGCTGTGGGGATTTGAGATCAAATTGCAGGGTTGTTTAAACACCTTAGGGTTACAAATGAGTTTTCACCCTTAAAATCCCATTTGCAAATATGTGGCCTTAAACTGTCCAAGTAGCTATCTTAATGATGTTAAATCCCTGGTTGGTAAAGGCCATAGGAAAGGCCTTGCATATTTTCATCCTGTTCCTTTCACTGAATTTACATTTGTATTACAATGAAATGTGAAAACTGGAAAATACGTAAAAACAAACCTTTCCCTATCACATGCTATGCCACCAGCCAATAGCAACTAAATTTGTTAAACTTTCTAGATAACTGCCATTTATTCAGTAGTCAGCTTTTACTATGTGACAATCACTGGGTTTTATGTATCTTATAGTATAACATTTAATATTCACAAGTGCATGAGACAAGCACTATTGCTCCCATTTTATAGATGAGCAATCTGAGGCTTAGGGAAGTTAAATTACTTGCCTACTGGGTATATGATATTATGAGCTCATCATTTGGTTGTGCAACCTTCCAGATGACCACTAGAGAGACAAGCCTGGGAAGGACTGAGAGGCAGGGCTGCAAAAAGAGCTGGGGGTTGTCTGGAAATGATCACAAATGGGAACCACCAAGTAGCCCAGTCCTCCCAGAGGGCACATGCAAAGGGAGAGCAGCGCTCTAGGTCACACTTTAGAGTAGGTCCCTGGGAAATGCCCTGGGAAGTAGAAGAGAGGACAGCATAGGGACAAATGACTTTTCCAAGGAACAGTTGGGAGGTCCACTTGAAGATCACAAAAGTCCCTCTGCAGCCTCAACACACTGGTAGCAGGGACCCTAGCCTTCTGCCTCTATTTCTTCCCATCTATCCCTTCCCTATCTGCTCCATCCCAATGGAATAATGGTTAGCTTGAATGACAACAGTGTTTTCAATTCTATCCATGGAAAGCAGCTTGTGATTTTAAAGGGAACATGGACTTTGGTGTTTGTTATACTTGGGCTGAAATCGCAGCTCCATTCCTGCCGGCAGTGTGACCTTGGGGAGGATACTCAGCCTTTTTGAAACGGCTTCCTTACCTACATCATGAGGTTAATGAACCTGCCTCACTAGCTTTAGATTTGACAAGAGGATTTGTTAACAAATGTGAGGACTTCTGTTTTCAGAAATATGGCAGGCTATATGTGCATAGAAGCTGCTTCCATGAAATGACTCCCCAAGATCCTAGATGAAATGTAATAAGTACTTTTAAAAGTAAATAATTGAAGGCCAGAGTGACAAAAAAAAAGGAGAATTCCAAGAGATAAGCTAGTGATGAGTAACAGATTATCCCAAAACTTAGTGCATTAAAATGATAAATATTTATTATCTCAGTTTCTGTGGGTTGGAAATTTGGGAGCTGTTTAGTTGGGTGGTTTTGGCTCAGAGGCTGCAGTCAAGATATTGGCCATGGCTATGATCATCTGAAGGCTTTCTGGGGCTGGAGGATGTGCTTCCAAGATGGCATGCTCGCATGGCTTTTGGCAGGAGGCCTCACATCCATGCCGTGGTGCCTCTTCATAGGGCTGAATGAGTGTCCTGACACTTTGGTAACTGGCATTCCCCCACGATAAACAGTCCAAGGAGAGCAAGGAGGAGGCCATAGTGTCTTGAAAGTCAAGCACCATGACTTCCACCATTTTATATTCATTAGAAACAAGTCATCCAGTTCAGCTCATACTCTAGGGGAGTGGAATTTAGTTTCCACTTTTTCAAAGAAGGAGTACTGGGGAATATGTAGACATAATTTTAAAACCAATAGAGCTAACATTTTTCCCAAGTCCAGGGATTATCCTGGTGGCCTAGAGTCACATTCAGAAGGGACTAGACATGAAGTCTGGGGCTCTGAATAAAACATCACCCTTGGAGGGTTACACCCTCAGTAGGATAACCTGCCTCATAGAGTGACATTTGTCTGCCTGAACCTTTGCTTGGGGATTTGGGCCCACATTCATGCTATCTCAATGGACTAAAAACCCAAATGAACCGTGTGGTTAAAAATAACTCCAGGTTGATTAGTCCTCTCTCTGAAGAACACAGTCCTCAAAAAATTATTATAAATAAAGTTTCAGGGAATATGAGATGATGATCAAAAATTGCTAAAAACATGATAAAATCAGCAACATGAACAAGAGACAAGAAAACAACAAGAAAGGACAGGCTACCCCCACAGGAACCAAGATCAAACTGACTGCCAACTTCTCTTGATCAACACTGGAAACCAGCTGACAATGTTACAACACATGTGGAAGTGTTTATTTCAGATGTTCTTTAGTTGGAGCCCAGGGAAAGGCTTGAGTAAGTAGCAGTCAATCTAGAATCTGCACTCTAAAGTGTAGAACGTGAAGGAATATAACAGTGAAGGTGGCAAAAGTTCATTTATTTGCCTCCCAAGAAGCCAATAAACCCAAAGAATGGCACAAAAACAGCAAAACTGCACTTTCTTTTACCATTTTCATGGCAATGGATGTATCTGTCCATGTTCAGGACATATAGAAAGCTCCGACTACCCAAGGCCAACCAGGGCAACAGTGGTGAAACAATGAAGGACAAACAATTGCCCTTTAGCATGTGACTTTTCACACAGTGCCTGCAGAAATTCAAATGATGGTTTTAAATTGAACTTATTCAAAACCCAAAAGAGATATAGATGTTTTATTTGATGGGAGCTATTTTGTTGATGATAGTACAGGTAAAAAGGTCTTAGGAGACAACATAGTTCAAACTCCTAATTTTAAAGGGCAGGAAACTAATTCCCAGAGAGGAGAAGTAATTTACTTATGGCTGGATTTACACAGATCAGAAACCAAGTTTCTGGTATGTCCTGCTGGATTATTTTTCCCATGAGACATAGGAGAGTTAAGCATCCAAATAAAAGCATTATCTCAGCCATGATCTCCAATGCTGTGATTTCTTGCTTCTTGTTCCTCATTCAGGTCCAGGCAGTGCAGGAGGATGTCTTGGATGAGCCAGTGGGGGCGTCCTGAAAGCCTGCTCTTGGCTGGGAAATCTTGGTCAGCTAGGACTAGGATCAGGACCACCTACCTAGCCAGGACTCTGCAGGAGTGTTGAAGAAATTGGGTATTATTTTTGTTATTTTTCCAGTTAATTATGTAAATGGTACCTATTTAGTGCACTTGGCATTCAAATTAGATTAAATGGTAACAATGATTTTCATTCCATACTGTTCAGTGAAGAGAAGACAGTAACTTACAAGAGTTACAAAGTATTCACACAAACAGGACATTCTCTTTATTCGGAATCCCTTATATTTTCTCTACTTGGATTTGAAACTGTATGGAGCCAGACATGCCCTTTGTATACACCTCCCTGTGTGTTTCGTCCCAGAGTATGTATTGAATATACCTTGATACATTCGCATACCAAGAAAATGTTAGCTGTGCTGGTTATATGTTGAATATAACTTGATACACTCCATAATCCCAGGTTTCACTTTCTCTGCCTGATTCTGGGACATATTGAGCCAGTTTTTCACTAGGGAGCTGGACCCATGAAGCCAGGAGACCTGGTAATCAAGGGTTGTATGACACACAAACCCTGTCAGTTACCCTGATCAGTATCACACGTTGTTTCAGGAGCTTTCTCTAAGGCAGAATCCTCCATCCCATGTTGGGCTGCCCTCCAAATGACTGGAAGACTACTTCATTTTGCTAATGATGAACTTGGTTTGGGTTTCTTATTATTTTTGTTTCCTGGAGCCCAGTAGCCACAGTTTCATAGGAATCAAATGAGAAAAGAGGGCAAGTCAGAGTGGAATTTTCCCAGTCTCTGTTTTCTTTCTAAGTGCAGATTCCCTGGCTGGGGTCTGCCTGTAGCAGCCTGCAGAAATTTTGACCTGTAAAGAGGAAATGTTGTGCTCAGAGGGGCATAGTTATTCTAGGAGAAGGTGCTTTGTAGTAACCACAAAGCCCTGAGTGTAAGTGGCTTATTAAAGCTCATGTCCTTTCAGGCAACCCTGGAACTCTTCCTCCCCAGCCCTTTTCTCATGTCCTCTCCCTTTCCCCTCTGGCAAGGACTTTCTGGCATAGAACATGCTCTTTTCTCCTACAAAGTGGTCAGAGCTCCTTTTTCATTCTGAACATAGATTTGCATGGTTTAAAAAATAAATCCAAAAGAGTAAATTGGAATAGACCTTCTGAAGGGAAACTGCAATATGTATCAAATCCCAAAAAGCAATTACATTTGGGGGAATTTATCCTGAAGAAACAATCAAGCTCATGCATAGAGGTCTAAGTGCAAGGATATTCATCATGGCCTTGTTCGTGTGAAAGTAAAAACAATGAGATTCCAGAGTTACTGCTGAGTGGGGTCAGGCAACACCTCTCCTACCTTATATGCACCAGCATCCACTAGTTTCAGAGGCTAAACACAAGGCTAATTGAAGAGCTGAAGAGCCTCTTGGGATACAATACTTAAAACCATGTCTTTTTTTTTTTTTTTTTTTTTTTTTTTTTGAGGTTGAGATATAGGCAGACGTATCTGGTGAATGTGGCTCTAGTGAATGTGCTCTGGTGAAAACCAGTTGGTGGTAATCCTAAGGTAAATTTCATTAGAAAGGAGAAAGTAAGCTCCTGGCTTATCAACAGGGCCTCATCATTAGAAGGAAGCAGTGGTTCCAAATACAAAGCGCTGGCTGGTACCAGCACTTGAATCAACCCCTCTACTAGAGAGGCCAACTATTTAGATTTGCCTAGGATTGAGGAGTTTTCTGAAATATGGGACTTAGGGAGCTAAAACCAGAAAAGTTCCAGCAAACTGGTCATTCTGCCCTTTACTAGAGAGGTGTGGGTGGCCACTCAGAAAAAGTAGTTATGTGAGAATTGATAGAGTGTATAACAACAGTGGACATGTTGGGCTGCAGGCACCCTCGCTATGGGGTCCTAGCTGAGCATAGCGAAGGTATCTTTTCCTTTTCACTTCATAGGGCTTATGTAGCAGAAGAGATTGCCAATTTTGAAATGCATTAACGGACACATTTGGAATGGTTGGTTTTCAGAACGTGGTGATGAGGTCAGTAGCACAACAACAGGAGCACAGTGCCAGGCCAGAGCATGTCCTGTGGAACTTGGGGATGCGCTGCCTTGGTCCAGCTGGCCAGAGAAGCGAGCAACAGGAATGATCCACGGACACACGTAGCACCTGGGGATTCTTGGAAATACTGAAGGAGGAAAATTCTGAAAATGATGGAAGTTGGACCACTAGAGATATTAAATTTGAGGAACTAATGGTACTATATTTGTACTTATTGGCTAGTAATGCCTGGGTCACATTTATGAGAAAAACATTAAAACAACTATTTGATAAAAGGAAATTGATTAAATAAATTATGGTATTTATAGTCACTTGGGATAAAGATATAAATGAGTGTATATACACACATATACGTATATATATGAGAATGAGATGTAAAGACAGTTACAATATTATTGAATGGAATAAAATTAGCTTGTAAAATATGGCCCTATTTTATTTCAGGATGTCTACATTTTTAAATTTAGATGCATGTATATGGATGCCCAAAAGAGTCCAGAAGATTAACAACTAAATAGACTCTGCATAGTGGAATTTTGGGTCATTTACATTTTTATTACTGTTTATCTCTCAATTTCTCTAAAAGAGCATGAATAACTTACATAACACACAAACACACACATATGCACTAAAACTACTGGCACATGCCAGACAGCTGCAGCTTTCTAACAACCTTTCATTAAAAAGGCACCATATCTACAATTCTAAGATGTGTTCAGATTGAGCACTGACACTTTGAATAACATATTCATAAAGAACATATCACCTTTAGGCCTGAGCTAAGTAGTACATGCCTTTTGAGGCACTGGGGGAAGAAAAGTATATATCTCAGTTCTCATGACCATCTAGGTTTAGGAATTGGCAAAGAAAGAAGTTAGAATTCCTTTTTCATTTTGTTGGCAAAGGTTTCTTCCATGCCTGAAATTGCATGACTACCAGGTCTGGTGATCTGGATAAGAAGAGGTGGCACTCCAGCCTGCATGGCACACAATGGAAGCCTAACAGGCTTGGCAAATAGTGAGGGGCTCTGGGCAGAGCACAGGTGCAGGTAGGGTCCATGTGGGCTCTGCCTGGACAGGAGCCCTAATGTCTGTGATCTCTTTGCAAGGCATGGACATAAAGCAATTATTTCATATGTACTTGTTACATTCGTTAAACAACACCAACAACCACCAGATGCCACAAGCACTTTATTGTGTTCCCTATGCTAGGCATTTTGCACGACACTTTATGTATATACATGTATATATCACCTCTCTTAGTAGCACACATTTAAAATAGCATTACTCCCATTTTAAAGATAGGAAAACTGAGACAGCCCCCACTCCGCGCCCAGTCAGGGGCTTAATAATTGAATCACCACTCTGTGATCTGCTGATACTATGCAGTGACATTTGTAATCCTAGGTTTGCCAGCCTTTTATGTTCCTAGCCCAGAGAAGTAGCCAAAGGAGAGTAGCTAAGAAGCTATTTTGGGAAGGGCCTGTGCAGGTACTCTCTATTAGGATGCTGTGCCCCTGCTCACTGATGGCTCAGACAGTGGAAATTAGAGGACCCAAAAGCTCCTCTGCTTGTCATCTGCAACATGTCTTTACTGTTGATGAGCAGAATTCAGAGCGCCTAAGAATTGCATACTTAACAGGAGCTCATCCAAACCTATTTGGTCTGGATAATGGGCTGGAAATCAAGCTCTTGCTGAGAGTTTCTAGTTCAATCAAGTCAGAAAATTACATGAATCTCAATTTTTAAAATACATATGTTTCATAATATGATTGAAGGAGTACCTTGGTCTTGAGTTTTTAACCAGCTAGCCCCCATTTCTGCCACCTTTACCTAGAATCAAAAAATTCATGGGGATCTATCCTACAGAATTTAATTGTATTCAAACTGCTGAGAAAGGAATATTTGCTTAAGGTACTTGGTCCATCAGAGGGTAACAAAAGACAGGCTGACTTCATAGAAATATACAGAATTTTTATGTAAAAGTGTGCCCACTGAAGTATTTGTTTTAATCTTGTTTTATATTTTTTACTGCAGCACTTTCACAATGACATGTTCCTGGGGCCTAATGTCCTCGCATAACACGAGAAAAACAAGATTTGTTTCAGTCTCTTAAAGAATTGAGAATTGTGTACAAAAACCTTACATAAATTAAAAGGATGAATACATTTACAGGTGTAAATGCAAACCACTTCCAACTCAAGGCAAGCCATGGTGTTCTGGCAGGAAAACATCAGGTAAGAAAGGAAACTGAATCCGAAGGCTTGGGCTCCTCCAACCCTCACAGACTGGCAAGACAGAAAGGACAACTGGTCCAGTTTGTCGGCCTCTAGAGAAATCCTGAAACACTCATTTCTGACACATTAATACCCGCACAGATCAAGAGACTGCTGGTCAGGCAGATTCACCATGCCACAGACTTCTCCTCCAAAAGCACGTTCTCACCTCAGCCAGAAAGTGATCGAGCAACATGTACTAAGGGTTTACATCAAAGATATGTACAGGGTGTTAAACAAATACCAAGGGAACAATTAGCTTGAATACAAGGTCAAAGTCAGCAGCAAATTCTATAATCCAGTGCTGATATTAGATACAAGCTTCAAGGACCAATTTCTTTTCAAAGGCTTATTCCAATTTTGTGAGGTTACCATGTGGTGTATACATTTGCCTGGGGCAGATTTATACTTCTGAATTAACTCATGCAGCAAATGCTATGCATCTGCTTACAGTCCATTTAGAAGCACTTGCAGTGGATGATGGAGGGGCCAGCTCATCACACTCTTGCTTGCTGATCTACCTCAGCTGGTGGGAGGACGGGGAGGCTAGGATAAAGCTACCAATTCATTCTGAGTACTTGCCCTCAAAGGGAGTAGTGATCTTGATCTTCATGGTGCTGGTCACCAGGGCAGTGATCTCCTTCTGCATCCTGTTGGTGATCCCTGGGTATATGTTAGTGTTACCAGACAGCACTGTGTTGGCAAATAGGTCCTTGTAGATGTCCACATTACATTTTATGAAGTTGAATGTGGTCTCATGGATGCCACAAGGTTCCATGCCCAGGAAGGAGGGAACCTCTCATTGCCAGTGGTGATTACTCGGCTGTCTGGAAGCTACTAATTCTTCTCCAAGGAGGAGCTGGAGACTGTGGTGGCCATCTCCTGCTGGAAGTCCAGGGAGAGATAGCATAGCTTCTCCTTGATATTGTGCATGAGTTCCTGCTTGGCTATGGAGGTGAAGCTGTACCCTTGCTCTGTGAGGGTATTTGTGAGGTAGTCAGGTCCCAGCTAGCCAGGTCAGATGCAGAATGGCATGCAAGAGAATGCAGACCTGGTAGAAGGGCGCCATGTTGGTGACCCCATCACCAGAATTCATCACAGTGCCAGTGGTGCCGCCAGAGGAGTGCAGGAATATCACAGCCTGGATGGCCATCTACATAGCTGGGGTGTTGAAAGTCTCCAACATTATCTGGATCATCTTCTCATGAGTGGCCTAGGGGTTCAGGGAGGCCTTGGTCATCAGAACCAGGTGCTCCACAGAGGTGATTTGCAGCTGGCTGTAGAAGATGTGGTACCAGATCTTCTCCATGTCATTGCAGTTGGTAATGATGCCATGCTCAGTGGGGTACTTCAGGGTCAGGATGTTGTGCTTGCTCTGGGCCTAGAAGGAGTCCTTCTCGCTCATGCCCATCATCATGCCCTGGTACCAGGGGTGCCCAAAGATGGAGGGAGAATACGGGTTGGGGGATGTTGTGCCCAGCAAAGCCAGCTTTGCACATGCTGGAGCCATTGTCAATGACCAGCCTGTGATCACTTCTTTCACTGCCTTGGCCAAGGAGCCAGGTGTCCCAGCTGGGAGAGAAAGTGGAGCATGGGTCAGGCCAGTGATGAGTGAGCCTATTAGAGTCTTTAAAAATACTGTTTGTAGAAACTATAAATTGAAACACAGAAGCTGTTGAAAGCAAAACCCTTCCCCTCCTTTCTCCAAAATGGAAGGAGGAGGGAAGGAAAGAAGAAAGGAAGGAAGGGAGAAAGGAGGGAGGGAGGGAAGGAAAGAATGAAGGAAGGAAGAAAAGAAGAAAGGAAGGAAGGAAGGGTTAAAAATGTAGTTAACCATATAAGTAATGGCCTCTCTCATAACTATAGATAATTTTTCTCCCTATCAAAGGTACTAAATTATGTGAAAGGCCACCTCATCTACTATGTGCAAAGGAAGAGGGAATGTAAAACAGAAGAGAAGATCATACGAGTAATTCAAATTCCTTAAGTGATGAAGATTTCTGGAAATATCAGTAAACAGAACCATGTTCTCCAAAAGGCTGAGCTTTCGTTCAAAAACCCTGTAAGAGTCTCTTTTTGGATTACCTGATGAAAAGCTGCAACTTAGGTTGGAGTCAGCAGTTTGGAAGACATAAAGTTTTCAATCTAGGCTGGATGCAGTGGCTCAGGCCTGTAATCCCAGCACTTTGGGAGGCTGAGGTGGGAGGATCACAAGGTCAGGAGATTGAGACCATCCTGGCTAACACAGTGAAACCCCGTCTCTATTAAAAAATGCAAAAAAATAGCTGGATGTGGTGGCACACACCTGTAGCCCCAGCAACGGAGGAGGCTGAGGCAGGAGAATTGTTTGAACCCGGGAGGCAGAGGTTGCAGTGAGCCGAGACTGCGCCACTGCACTCAAGCCTGGGTGACAGAGCGACACTTCATCTCAAAAAACAACAAAAAAAGTTTCCAATCTAGGCATTTCCCATTTCTTATGGCCTAGTTGGTATGTCTAAGGAAATTTACATAAGGGCTTCAGTTCCTCATGGACCCTAAAACTATTTGCAAAATTACCTCTAGCCGTTTCAATTTTTGAAGCTACATGAACCACACTCACATTTACTTAAGCCAATATGTCCTACCTCATATTGTTCTCTCTTTATTTTTCCTATTTTTTAAAATCAGCATTTACCTGTAGGAAAGACAATCAGGTCTCCTCTTGCCCTGAATTCAGGTCCTTCAAGGCTCTCAAGAGTGTTACAACAAGCAGAAATCTTAGTGATGAAGTTATTGCAACCCCTCCATTTTATAGGAGAGGAAACTGGGATCAGAGTAGGTATGAGACTTATCTATAGCCACAGAATGATTTTCTGCAAAACATAAATCAGTGTGCATGGTAGAAAATGACAGGTCTCTGAAGTTAAACAGACTGTATAAGAGTCCCAGTTCTACCTGCTGTCCTTGTGGCCCCAGGCATAACCATATAACCACAATCTTTATAATGTCATCCATAAAATGGGGATAATAAAATATATATTAGGGGTTGTGTGGACTGGGCTAGGATAGGCTTTCAATAAATGTCCATTTTCTTTCTTTAAAATACAAGACACCAAAACAAGTAAAATATCCAAGAGATTAAGATGGGCAAATTTCCCAACTTATATTAGGCCATGTGAAAATGAAGTAATACTTCTATTCTTAGTTGATCTCTGTAATTCTTTTAATTTTCTTAAAACCCTGTATCTCCATAGGAGCTCCCTGAAAAAGAAATATTTCCACTATTGAAGAACCTAGAGTTCTTACACTTCCCTCTTGGTGCCTGGGAATTGGATTTCCCTCACACTGTGAGAGTGCAAGGACTCCTCGACATTGGCCTAGATTACTTAGGATGTCGCTCAAGGTCCAGAGGATGGGAACCTCGAGTTTGATGAGCTTCACATAGTAATCATCAAAAATCAGGCTGAGCACTTGCTATGGAATCAGGAAAATTACCAGATGGATGGACTGGTGTGAATATGAAACATAGCCTGATTTTGGAAGTAAGTAAGAAGAAAAGAAAGATACTGGCAATAATGCCCTGTAAACATCACTTCCAATCATAATCTTATATACATATACATATACATATATATATACACACATATACATATATATATACATATACATATATATATACACACATATATATATATATATATACATATACATACATATATATATATATATATATGTCTCTAAGTAGCAGGAGAGTGATGATATCAGGAACAATAAGCGACTTAGGCTTCAAAGAGACAAATCATTCCTGCACAATAGCTTTTTTTTTTTTGACAGAGTTATGAATAGATAAAGAGGAAATTTAAGAGATGTAATATATCTTATGTTGGTAAAGATTTGATATGTCTCAGAAAATTTTATTTGCAAAATAAGCTACAAGATCACAAAGAAAGGTTGTTGATAAATTGCAAAGTATCTGGTCATAGGGAGCTGCAGAGATGGCTGTCGAGGATGCTCTTATTTAACACCTTCATCATTAATTTGGAAGAGGTAGTGAAGCTCTTGCTGTGTTCATAAAAATTGCAGTTTATGCTAAATCAGGACGTGGTGTGAACACTGATCAGCCAGAGACTGACACAAAATGGTCCCAAAAGGGGAAAATTGGAGAGACACAAGAGCTAACTGAGGAAAGCGTTTTAAGATATGTTTTGATTTACCTTTCTTCACAGTGAACTGAGTTAGAATCTGACAGCAAAGCAGGGCCACACAGACTTGGAGGAAGAGGTGGACAATGGAAAATAATCTATTAGGTACTCGTGGGGACTAGTATTTGGCGAGGGTCCACCCTGTGCCAAATTCTGCACTCGGACTTCAACATTCTGTGAGTGGGTGCTCAGAAGAGACTCAGAGATGTTAAAAATCCCAGAATAGAAAAGGAACTCAAAATCTTTCATAATCCAGTCATTACCCAGTAATTATAATATGACAAATTTGACTCTCCTGACTTCTAGGAGTGATATGATTTGGCTATATCTTCACCCAAATCTCAACGTGAATTGTAGCTCCCAAAATTCTTATGTGTTGTGGGAGGGACCCAGGGAAAGGTAAATGAATCATGGGGGCCAGTCTTTTCCATACTATTCTGATGATAGTGAATAAATTTCACAGGATCTGATGGGTTTATCAGGGGTTTCTGCTTTTGCTTCCTCCTCATTCTCTCTTGCCTCTACCATGTAAGAAGTGCCTTTCATCCTCTGTCATGATTGTGAGACCTTCCCCAGCCATGTGGAAGTTCAATTAAATCTTTTTTAACTGTAGGTTAAAACTTACTTATTAACTGTAAGTCCAATTAAAACTTTTTCTTTTGTAATTTGCTCAGTCTCAGGTATGTCTTTGTCAGCATCGTGAAAACAGACTAATAATACACACAGTAAATATAATTTGATAAAAATGTGACTCCTTTGAC